GTCATCTTCAGGCTGCTTCAGACTACTTCAGGTTTGGTGTTTCCAGGAGTAGTGTAGTATATATATGTTGTATTTGTGCTGATAAATAAATATATTGGGGCATACCAGGGGTTGTAACACTTAATATATTAGCTAAGCCTCAGAAGACATCATCTGGAGACTTCCTGTTCTTGCCTAGGTTAGGAACGTGTTTGACTTCCTGTTTTCCTCTTTTTTATATGTAAAAATAAAATTAGATTCCTACTATTGTGGACTATAAGGAAGTGCTACTGAACATCACCTCGCTGGAAAGAAGGACTGCATCCCTGTACAGCTTTATCTGTGAACTTTCCCTCCTCAACACGGGCCTTTGCGGCTACTCCCCGGCCCGTTTGTCTGCAGCGGCTTTGCTGTTAGCAAAAGTGTTGCACAGGCAAGGTGAGTTCCAATCCGAACAAAGACCACCTGCGACAGGGTTCCAAGTAACGCTCCCAACGAAGGAAGACTCCAAGGTTTTGAGGTTGCTCGAAGTTCCATTTTATTAGAGATGTCCTATTGGCACATCTGGGAAAACCCGAATCTGAAAGCTTCCACGTCTTCCCCACCCAAACGAAAGTCCAAGCCCCTACCTAGCTCCCACATGTCCATCACATGGCCCAATCAGGCACCGTCCCAATTGGAGATGCCTCCCAGTCACACCACTCAAGGTGCAAGGCAAGACTCTGAGAAAGGAATGTTATTTAGACTACCATATTTTTCGGAGTATAAGATGCACCTTTCCCCCCTAAAAGATGGTGAAAATGTGGGTGCGTCTTATACACTGAATGTATAAAGGCCCACCCTTTGGCCTCTGCCTCCCAGCAACTTGCCTCCTTGCAGCAAACGGGGAGCTTGCTGAGTCTTCAATAGGCTATAACAATCCCTGCAGCCTGAAACAGCTGATGATCGGGAGAAATTGAAAGCAAAACTTGCTGTTTGCTCCAGGAGGCAAATTGCTGGGAGGTAGATTTTTTTTCCTTGTGCTAATCAGGCTGTTTGCTGCAAGGAGGCAAGTTGCTGGGAGGTAGATTTTTTTTCCTTGTGCTAATCAGGCTGTTTGCTGCA